TTTTTGGAGATAGCTAAAAATTTGGAAAAAGGTTGGCTATCCTATTTTAGCACTTTAGCGATAGCGAAAGTTAGAATCCGGCTGATGGTCGACACAGTTGGCGTTTTGATTTCGAAAAGAACCTCATCAGCAAAAAACACTATGTTTTCAGATCTAAATATTTTAACATCCTTTCCAAATTGTTTCCCATTGTTTTCATATTTATTTGATAAATAATTGCAAAAAATACGCGTTTTTTCTTCTAAGAGTTTCATAGCACTTTCGCAAATATCAGCAGCACCAAATTTTTTTTCAACATGGTTAACAACCGAAAATGGCTTTTCTTTTTTCGAACATCCAATCAGCCAAACTTCTAACAACTTGCCTTTTGTGATAGCATGATAACCCAGAAAAAAACCGTTTTTCTTGAAAACGGCTAAAAACGGCAAGTTAAGTATTGAACTCATTACATCTTAGTTTATCGATTTCCGATTCCATTTTGTTTGCCGAAAGTTAGCACAATTGTAAAAGCTTACATAAAATCATAAATGGAAATAAAGCAGACAATGTTTGAGGTTATGCAAATAAGTCAGTTTTTTGCAAACAAATGATACAAAGTCACTTTTTTAAATTGGGACATAGGTTCTCACTTAGATATAGTTTTCTTTCCCATTTAAAATTTTCCTTTAGTTATTCGAACTTTACAAAAACAATGCACTTGAAATTTACAAAATAAACCTGTTGCGCAAACAACGTATCATAACGTTTTGAAAGTGTAACTTTGGTTTATTGCTGTATAACGGTGTTTTTTATTTTACAAAAACTAAGTGAAGTTTCTGTTATTTTGGAGTATTCTCTACAGAATGGCAACAAAAAATAATGTAAAACTGCCTTTACGAAATTGGACTTTCGCACAGCCAAATGTATCATTTGACCTAATGTGCAATGATAAAAAATTTGTAAATGAAGTCGACTGACTTTTATTAACCGGAAGTTAAGGACCGGTTGTTCAATGTCTGGTTAACACAAATCGGAGGTAGAAGCCCCGGTTAAATACAACGATTGCTTTATCGATCACATGTTATATGCTTGATGACGAAATCGTCGATAATAATGTTTAACTGGGAGGTAGTGATAACTAGACATGGAACAACAGGCCCTAAGAGCCGGTTACTCAGTATCTCGTTAACACTAACTATAGGTTAAACATTATTATCGACATTATCGATTCCCTGTTATATGTTATGGAATCGATCGCGTCGATAACGATGTTTAACCTGCAGTTAGTGTCAACCAGACATTGAGTAACTGGCCTTAAGTTATACATTACCTACTCCCGTAAAGATGTACATATGTATATCAGGGTGGTGCGAAAAAAGTAAACTCGGAATTTTAATGCTCTCATTCCCTGGGTTTGTTCTATATCAAAAAAATATGTTTGAAATCAAAAAATATTTATAGGTCGCTTTCGTAGAAATTTTATAGAATTAATAGAAAATCAATAGTTTTCAATCAGAAGACTCTAGTTCTCTTGAAGAGACCTCAAGAAATTATACCCAAATGTTAATTAATAAATCTTTTATATCAATCATTTTTTATGAGTTCCCAATTGCCTTCTTTAAGATCTTTGGGGTTAAATAACAACTGGGCCTTATTGCTTGAAGTCTCCTGAGGGGAAACAGAGTTTGACGGTTGAAAAATATGAATTTTCATCTCTTAATATTTTTTTCAAGAACTCAACAGGGGTATATTTTTTTGATATTGATTCAGTGCTTTCCCGTAAGTTCGAGTAGATTCCTTGTTAGGGTTGATTGCAGTCTTTCTAATAAAAGTCGCGGTTTACTAGTTTAAATTCAATTCAATTTACTTTAATTACTCAATAGAAAACTTACACTTTTTATGCGGAGACTCTAAGCGGGCAAACGAAATATGCAGGCGGTAGAAAAGCTAACGAAGGAATGCAGAAGCCGAAAAACAATAAGCGAAGGAGAATAAGAAATGTCAAAAGACGTTTGCTCTTAACTCCTTCGTGGTGAATTAACGTTAACCCTTGTAAGTTCGTGAACATTAACTCTTATGTTATACATGCAACCATTAAATCTTTAAAGTTTCGAACCAACATACCGCTGCCCTTGAACTATCTATGTCCATATTATATGTTCAAACTTAACATTACAAATAGATGTTTAAAATACATTTTTGAAGGAAAATACTTTAAATATAGGAAAAAGACTTGAGAATATGATTATCTTATTGGACTATGAGTCATCATCGGATGATAGGTCTTCTTTGGTGGGTAGTAGGCACAACTTTGCTATTGGACGAACAAACTCTCCATTAGACGTTTTCACCGTCACGACTCGTACGCGACCATCAGATCCAGGATGGCATCGAATTACTCTCGCTAGTAACCACTTTGTAGGGGGAGTAGGCTTGTTGAAAACTGTTACTATATCTCCTTCTTCGAAGTTGCGACGTTGCAGGCTAACAAGATATCCATCTCTCCAACGACGCCAAAAATACCGCCTTATTGCGGAAATTAACTGCCAACGTTGATGAAGATTTCCACAGAACCCTTGACCCTTAGGTTCTGTGATTGACTTAAGTGGCTCTCTAACGATAAAGTGCCCTGGGGTTAACGCTTCGAAGTCGACTGCGCTTGTTGTGCCTTCGCATAACGGGCGGGATTTCACGCATGCTTCCACTTCTGTCAACAATGTACTAAACTCTTCGTATGAAAGTAGAGTTTCGCCCAAAACGCGTTTTAGGTGGTACTTAATGCGCTTGATACCGGTCTCCCAGTATCCGCCCATATGCGGCGCAGTCGGCGGATTAAAACGCCACTCAATGTTCGACTCAGAACAGAAAGATTGTGGTCTGTCGTCTGCCATGCATTGCTCATATCTGTTGCGAAGCTCCTTCTCAGCGCCGACGAAGTTTGTGCCATTATCTGAAAACATCGTCTTGCAATACCTTCTACGGTTAATAAACCTTTTGAACGCGTTAAGAAAAGCCGAAGTCGATAAATCTCCCAGGAACTCGGTGCATTGCACCAGTGCACATACAAGGAGCATGAAGGAGCAAATATAGCCTTTGACGGACTTCGCCCCTCTTCCGTGCGCGTACTTAAACATGTATGGGCCGGCAAAACCCACAGCGGTGCGTATGAAACAGCGGACGTAGGTAACTCGAGACACAGGAAGATCACCCATTGATTGCTTAGCGAGATTTCGATTTAAATAAGTACATTTTACGCACTTGCGATAAGTACTGCGGATCAAGTGGCGGGCGCCAATAACCCAGTAGTGGCGTAGCAAAACCGCTTGCATTAAACGTGGTCCTGCATGCAGAGTGAACCGATGAATGCCGAATATGATTAGCTTCGACAGCGGAGAATTTTCGGGTAAGATGACGGGGTGCTTTGCATCGTATGCGACATCCGCGGACTTCAGTCTACCCCCAACTCGAAGAATACCATTTGTGTCGAGAAACGGCTGCAAGCGCAACAGGTTACTACGGAGTGGGATCGGCGTTTTTGCGCTGCAATTAAAAATTTCGATAGTAAAGAAAAAATGTTCGGTATACGTTATTAAACGGCGTTCCGCTTTAGCTATCTCAACACAGCTATGAGGACCACATCGTTTTTCACCAGTGCGTTGTATACTAGAGCGGATATTGAGCAAAAAGCGCAAAACGTAAGCGATGATTCGTCGTAATTTGGAGTACGACGAGTATTTAGTCATTATCGGCCAATGAATATCCGAGTTGGTGACATGAGCATGAACTTTCTTTCGTAGACCCAATTCCATTACGTACGTTTTTGTTAAGCCTTGCTTCCAAAACTGGTTTGAACTACTCAGAAATTCAGGACCGTTCCACCATTGCTCATGGTGCAGAAGTTTCAGCGGCGTTATACCGCTAGAGGCGCAATCTGCTGGATTTCCTTCAGGCCGTACGTAATTCCAGCATTCCGGAGGAAGAATCTCGTGGATATCATCGACCCGGTTTGCGACAAACGTTCCCCATCTGCTAGGGTATGCTTGCAACCACGCCAACGTAATAGTTGAGTCCGTCCAAGCAAATAACGGGTATCGTAGATTCACCCCAACTATGCAGCACACTTCTAACTAACTCAGCAGTGAGGTGAGCAGAACACAGTTCCAGGCGCGGCAAAGATGTGGTTTTTATCGCTTCCACTTTGGTTTTGGACGAAATTATTGAAGCGGTGACCTGATCGTCGCTATGAACGGTGCGTACGTACATCACTACGCATCAGCGAAGATGTGAAATTCAGTAAAGGATGCAGCCGTTTCACAACCGAGCCAGCAACTCACCTTCAAGTTTACTATTTACAGCAGCTGCACGCGATGATCAAGCTAAGATTTGCGATTGTGTCTGGTATCAAGTCATCCCATCCAACCTCAGCACGCCAAATGTCTTGGAACCACATTTTCGAGCATATTGTTACAGGAGCAAGTAAGCCCAGCGGATTAAAGAGAGTACTGGCATCTGACAAAAAGGCTCTCTTAGTCAGAATAGTGGGTGCCTTCTTTAGGTCGACTGCGAATGTAAAGTAATCGTCCACTATGTTCCAAGCGAGGCCTAACGCATGAACTTCCTTACCGTCGACTATGTAATGGGATATAGTTTGAGATGATTTGGACATGCTTTCTTTCAATTCAGCGCAGTTAGATGCCCATTTCCGTAGTTCGAAGCCGCCTTCTTAAAGAATTTCGGATACGTTTTGTTGAAGCGATCGGAGTTCTGACTTGCAAGAAGCTCCAGTTAGCAGGTTATCCATGTAAAAATTATTGAGGATTGCGTCAACCGCTTTCTTACAGCCATTAGTTGAGCACTTAGCAGTTTGTTGCAACGCTTTGACAGCTAAGTGAGACGCGGCGGCCACCCCGTACGTTACCCGTAACATGCGGTAATCTCTCACGGCTGAAGATGGATCTGGACACCAAACGATTCCTTGCAGATCGACGTGTTTCGATGAAACGCAGACCTGCCGATACATTTTAGCCACATCCGCGGGTTATCGCGTAGCGATGAGTTCGGAAGCGCAGCAATATAGAATATAAATCTTGCTGTAGCTGGGGTCCAACAAACAATGCGTCATTCAGCGAGTTACCCGTGGTGGTTTTGGCGGACACGTTGAAGACTACCCTCAGCTTGGTCGTAACGCTAGATTCTTTAATAACTGGGTGGTGTGGTATATAATACACCTCGCTCGTCGCTTCAGACACCTCCCCCATGTGACTCATGTCAATGAGCTCTCGCATGAACTCATCGTAGCGCAAACGCAAATCGTTGTTACTAGCGAGCCTTCGTTCTATGCGTAGCAGGTTACGTATTGCGAAGTTTCGTGACTCACCCAATACTATGTTAGGTTTAAGCGGTAGTTCAACCACAAAGCGACCATCCGGCATTCTTTGATGTGTGAAATTGAAGTGATTCTCGCAGAAGTTTTCCACGTTCGTGAGATGCTGTTTCTGCGGCGAATCTTCGAGCTCCCATAACCTAGCGAGCGCTCGTTCTAATTGTACATCGCAATGCAGCGATTGCACACGAAGCGTTTGCGAAACGGGACTGTAAACGTTTCCAAATAAAGTCCAGCCGAAAACTGTTTTCTGTGCCACAGGCGTGCCAGACGGACCTTTTCGAAACTCCGTACAGATTAGTTGATCCATCACGTCCATGCCTACGAGCATGTCTATGCGGCCAGGTTTCGCGAAATGTGGATCAGATAGGAATAAGCCNATCCATGCCTACGAGTATGTCTATGCGGCCAGGTTTCGCGAAATGTGGATCAGATAGGAATAAGCCTTGGATATGCGGCCAACTAGAAACATTCAGAGTCTGCACCGGCAAATCGTTGGTGATTTTCGGAAGAATCAGCGCGGTAATATCATAGCATTTATCCGAACAATTAGACGAAAGCGTGAGCAGCGTCGCGCCTCTACATCGACCGCCTTGCGTGGTCAAATCCCTGTGGCAAATACAGAAGACGATGAACGTGTTAATCCCAAACACTGTACACATTCCTAGGTTACAAACGAGGCGTGCGACCCGGTGTCGAACAATAAACGTGCGGTTTGCCAATGACCAGCGCAGTCTCGAATCTTTACTAATGCGGTAGATAATATAACTGATTTTTGCGTTGCAGGTAGAGGAATGGAACCAGCACTCAAGCAGGACGAAACGCGTGAAGCAGCGCTATTCGCTGCCAAAGCGGTGGCAGATGAACCAGTTGCATGGTTGCTGACAGATGCGGAATTCGAAGCGGCAGCGATGGCATCGACGACATGAGCAGATGTGGCGGCGGGGGAACCTGTATTACTGTGAAGCAGCGTTGTTGGTGTCGTTGATGACATATTCGGCAAGCAGATGAGCTATTACAGCGTTCTTTGTAATGCCCTGGACTTAAACAATTCAAGCAAGCTTTGGATTCTTTGATAAATTTAGATTTTGCATTAAATTCTAAACTACGAAATTTGTCGCAAGAGTAGATCTTATGAGTTGCATTGGAATTGCGTGCAATACTTCGTTTGATTTCGCAGCAGATTTCTGCGTTGTCGACTTAATAGTTGTTGCCTGCGGAACAGGCGCGGTAATAATTGCCAATGAGCGGCACTTAATCTCCAGAAACGTTGTCAGTTTTTCGAAGGTGGGGAGTTCATCGTTAATAAGCGATAGCTCCCACTGTGTGCGGGTTTCGAACGCGAGTTTATTTACTGTATATGCACCAACCAATCGTCCCAGAAGTCTACGAGATGCCCTAATGCTTTAAACTCTCGTACGTGTTGCTGAGTTGCATCGAGAACACCTTTTATAGCATCAGAAGTGTCATCAGAAGTGTCATCCGAAGCTTTGCGAACGTCAGCTATCACCCTGAGGTGTGCCTCAATAATAACTCGCATTACTTTATAGCGAGACTTTAGCAAGTCCCACGCCTCTGTGTAGTTTGCATCCCAGATTTTGAAGCTCCTAATAATGCTTAGTACGTCACCTTTTAGGCAACTGCGCAAATAATGTAATTTTTGCCCATCTGATAAAGCGGTGTTGGTGTCAACCGATGTACAAAAGGCGTCATAGAAAGCGACCCAATCCGTGGAATCGCCCGAAAAGGTAGGTAAATCCATTTTCGGCAAACGTATAGCCGCAGACACAGATGCTGACGTAGCTGCAGGCTGCGTTGGCGGTTCCGCCCTACACTTTTGAACCCGTTTGAAGTTGACTAAAGCTTCAGCATTCCAAGTTTCACCTTGTATGCGAGCGTTCTCCTGTACTTCCACATTGTCAGATCCGCAAGATGTTTCAACATCATCTTGAGCAGCGGTGAAACGTGCCCATTGCTCATTAAGGAGTTGTAAATAGCTTGATACAGTGTCGACGTCCATGAGAAAAGCTTCGTCTTTGCTTTTGGCCATGTATATTTTAATAGCATTTAGTGCAGAGTCGCTAGTTTTTACTGAAGAAGACATTATTAGTTTTGCTTTATAGGTCAGAGGGCAAAATAAAGCCACGGCAGATTTGTAAGTAATGTAAAGTAAACTGATTGATAATTCGTAAAGGACAAATCGGAGGACGGCAGAATGTCACAATAACGAATGTAGAACGATTTGCAGAGGTCAAGCCAAAGTCAGCTTGAGTTATCGAATTTATGCTTCTCGTATGTATGTATGTAGGTTGGTGTGAATGTGATCTATTACACCTTGGTTTCCATACAATTGCGCTTATATTCGGGCCGAAGGACCAGCAATGATGCCGTGTTTTCCCGTAAGTTGATTGCGAGTAGATTCCTTGTTAGGGTTGATTGCAGTCTTTCAAATAAAATACGCGGTTTACTAGTTTACATTTAATTCAATTTCCTTTAATTACTAAATANCAATGATGCCGTGTTTTCCCGTAAGTTGATTGCGAGTAGATTCCTTGTTAGGGTTGATTGCAGTCTTTCAAATAAAAGACGCGGTTTACTAGTTTACATTTAATTCAATTTCCTTTAATTACTAAATAAAAAATTAACACTTTTTATGAGGAGATTCTAAGCCTGCGAACGAAATATGCAGGCGGTAGAAAAGCTAACGAAGAAATGCAAAAGCCGAAAAACAATAAGCGAAGGAGAATAAGAAATGTCAAAAGACGTTTGCTATTAACTCCTTCTGGGTGAATTAACGTTAACACTTGTAAGTTCGTGAACATTAACTCTTATGTTATACATGCAACCATTAAATCTTTAAAGTTAGTATATTCGAGCCCAACAGATATTGTTACGATTATCTCTGTTAAGTTGACGGATATCCCAAAATTCCTTCGGTTTTTTATCACTGCATTGTTAAATAAACGCTCAAGATGACCAAATAGCAGTACAATTAACTTTATTGTGAAACAAATACTTTACTAATTGTTTAGGCAATAACAACGATTAATAATACTTGTTAAGGTAATTACAACACTTTACAAAACTTTTAATTAATTAATTAATTAATCCCAACGGCTTTTTGCCCTCCATTCCCGCCCAACCGACACGAGGGGCGCAGTCCGCATGACGTACGGAACTTTTTTTTTTTTTTTAGTTTTTTCGTGCCGAGTAGTGGAAACAGGAGTTTGTTAAGTGTCGAGATCTAAAACTATTCAGCTACAGAATCAAATTCATCAGCTGATTGGATATGCTAAAGATAGTATTTCAATTATTGAGAGTGGAAATAATAGTTTTCTTTATAGTAAAAATCGAGTCCGATACGTCAAACGTGCTGGAATGACAGTTAAAATCTTGACATAAACCACGGAATGATTCGTTTAGTTCAAAATTAGTTTTGCATGGCTTTAAAAATAGAGGTCGAAAGTGTCTTGACACTCGAGAAGGAACATTAAAATTTACCTCAGCCAGGAGGGCCGGGCTATTAATCAAGCCTGTCATTAATTTTACGATAAATATTATACCCAGCATTTCTCTACGACTTGCGAGTGTAGGCAAATTTATGAGCTTTAGACGACTTGTGTAAGGGGGGAGATTGTAATCTGAATCCCAGTTAAAATTACGCAATGCAAAAAGCAAGAATTGTTTTTGAATTGATTCAATCCTTTCTGAATGAACTTGGTAGCGGGGATTCCAAACAATAGATCCGTATTCTAGTATAGGTCTAACTAAACTGGTAAAAAGAGCTTTTGTAACATAAGGATCTTTGAACTCTTTTGACCATCGCCTTACAAATGCAAAAACGCCTTTGGCTTTATTGACTGTAACATTAATATGATGGTTGAAATTGAGTTTGGAATCCATTGTGATACCAAGATCGACAAAATTGGATACCTGCTCCAGATTATAATTTGATATTGAATAAACAGCTGGTTGAACAGCCCTCCGAGAGAAACACATAACTTTACATTTTTGAAGGTTTAGTGGCATATAGTTTGTATTACACCAACTAACCACGTTGTTCAGATCCGCTTGTAACAAAGACCTTTCTTCGATAGAGGACAATGTTTTAAAAAGTTTCACATCATCGGCATACATTAAAATTTTTGAATGTTTTATTATAGAAGAAATATCATTAATGAATATCAGGAACAGAATCGGACCAAGGTGGCTTCCCTGAGGAACTTGCTAACACAATTGATCTCTGCTTTACGACTGAATTGTAGCTTGCTAATTTGCAACTGAACTTGGTGTGCGCTGCAGCAGCGCCCTTATATACCTGCGCCGTTTGGCTCTCATGGCAACTCTTGATGATTCTGCCATCTATCGCACATTCTCTAATTCTTTCTCTGTTCGCAGTATTCTTCCACTTGACGTTTTTCTCTGTCGAATATTCTACCTCTTTCGTCGAACATTCTTCCATTTTATTGCTGTTCGCTTCGCGTTGCCGCAGTATTCGCTACAATGTAGAACAATCCTGTGTCATTAAAATTCCAATTTTACTTTGTTTTCACCATGTCTGGTTAAGTCTAAACATCGTTATCGACCTCCTCAATAGAATCAATGTGTTCGAAAAAGTAGTCGATATATTCAACTGGAGGGGCATGTAACTAGAAGTTGCATGTTGTTAGGTGCGCCAGCTATTATTTTGAAGATTTCTGACAACCAAAATTAGCCTTAGCGAATGTTGGAATTCGGGTGCAGATGATTTACTAAGGGCCGTTTGCACAATGTCTGGCTAACGCTAACTGGAAGTACATCCTTCAGTTAAGCACATCGACTGCTTTATCGATCGCTTGTTATAGGCTGGGTGTCGATAACGTCGACAATGATGTTTAAGGGCCGGTTGTTCAATGTCTGATTAGCACAAATCGGAGGTAGAAGCTCCGGTTAGATACAACGACTGCTTTATCGATCAAGTAGTGATAACCAGACATTAAACAACCGGCCCTAAGTGGGAGCTAGAATTAACCAGACATGGTGCAAACGGACCTAAGTGCGTTTTGGGAATAGACGAAGTTTCAATTATTATTTTGTATTATGTGGATGAAAAGATTTCACGAGAATCATGCAACCAGTGTTGCCAACTTTTGATTTTCAAAAAGCACAAAAAACTTGGAAAAAGCGTTTTACCACACTAAAAGCACCAAATGGTTTTGAATCAATTGATGCTTGTTCCATAACATTTTGTACGTATTTAACAAAAACAACAAATTAACAATATTTACACGAATGCATACATAAATCAATAAACAAAACTTTTTCGCTCATAACGATTGAATAGCCTCTAAA